ATCTGCAAAAGAAGGAAGAGGAAAAAAAAAAAAAAAAAAAAACCCAGATCCCATTGAGGTGGAATCGGAAACCTTTGTGACCTCCTTCTTCTTCCTCTTCCTCCTCTTTCTTCTTCCGCAGGGCGGGGGGAGGGGGTGGTTACTGGGGTTTTTTTTTTTTTTAAAAAAAAATTTTCTTTTACTTTTCTTTTAATATTTAAAAAATATTAAATATTTTTTTTAGTTTTTAATAATATTTTATTAATTTTTTAATAGAAAGTGAGTTCCGAATCAAGCCACATCAGTATTTAACTTAAAAGTAAACGGCCAAGTAATGGAAGGTGTAATATTAGACCAAATTCTAAAGATGAGGCATAACATTGTCATTTTTAAAAAATAAGGTATAAAAATATTGTGACATCAATAATTGAGGTAGTTTTTTATACTTTACCCAAAAATTTTTTTAACACAACGTTTGTTCTTTTTTAAAAGATAAATGTGATGAAGCGGTGTCATGGTTCGAGAAACCACATTATGCAATCTCTAATTTATTATTTGCATGATTTTCTCCTTCACATAATGGTTCGAGAAACCACATTATGCAATCTCTAATTTATTATTTGCATGATTTTCTCCTTCACATAATAAATATCATAAATTTTTTATAACATACAAAATTACCAGCTTCTTCGTTATAGGTTTGTTAAACGAGGTTTTGACAAGCTTTTATGAATTCTTTAATGGTCAATGTTTGGTTTTATATCCATCTTAACATGTTGTATTTTTCTTGTCTATCAATAAATTCTCCTCAAAATCTTTTTTCATGATAGTAATATTGGAGTGAGATGGACTTTGCGGCCAAATTTTATTAAAAAAAAAAAAAAAGGAAATAGGGGATATAAAAGCAATAAGCAACCCCTCTTCACTCCATAAACATAAACTCGTTCCCTTCACAACCCAAAATCCTCGATCGATCGTCTCTCTCTGTGATCTACTGCTAGTCGTGCTAATTCTTCTGTATCGAGTGTTTTCGTTCGAACCAAAACTCGAAACTCGATGGCGTTCTCTTTCACCGAGTTGTTGGAAGACGAAACCAACATGGAGTGGCTTGTAGAATCTTGGCCCCGGGTGAAAGTACTGTTATCCGACGTTGGATTTTCAAGCACACTGGAAGTGGCTCGACGTTCCATCATCATGACCCCGACCACGGCGACAACATCCGCAGATCATACCGCTAGCATTGCCAACTCTAGGTTTTTTGTTCGACTTTTGGCAAAAACGCCATGCCTAAGAGGAGAAAAGAGTACCTTCATCAAGATTTCGGGATATGTAGTCGACAAGGACAAGTATGAGAAACAGCGCGAGCAACTCATTGCCTCCGCCTCCAAAAATGCCATCTACAAATTGACCTTGTGTGTACTGTGACTGCCGTTGGGATCGACTTTTGACAAATTCGAGACATCGTTGGAGGAAGAGTTAATATTGGATGTTGTTGAGCCGAATCATGAACATCAGGAGGAGGAGGAGTAGGAGCTGTTGAAGACCAACACCCGCCCAGTTGGTGTTTGGATTCTAGAAGATTCTAGCAGCAAGTCTAGAAGGCAGGAGCTTCTGGAAGAGGAGGAGGAGCTGTTGAAGACCAACACCCGCCCAGTTGGTGTTTGGATTCTAGAAGATTCTAGCAGCAAGTCTAGAAGGCAGGAGCTTCTGGAAGAGGAGGAGGAGCTGTTGAAGACCAACACCCGCCCAGTTGGTGTTTGGATTCTAGAACATTCAAGCAGCAAGTCTAGAAGGCAAGAGCTTCTAGAAGAGGAGGAGGAAGAGCTGTTGAAGAACCAACACCCGCCTGGTCGGTGTTTGGATTCTAGAAGATTCTAGCTGCAAGTCTAGAAGGCAGGAGCTTCTAGAAGACATGCACTTTGACCGGGTGCAAATGAACTATAATTTTCTGCGGTGCATGCACTTCAAGTATCTAAAGCTATTGTAGCCTTTGTAAGGTTAGTAAAATGTGACGCCCATATCGGTAGGCTGTTTGTAGAAAGAAATAGCTAGAAACTAGTAGAATGTCAAATTCAAGTTTGGTGGACATCTAGTATTCGTATCGTGTTTTTTGTGTTCGTGTCATACCCGATAGCTTAACGGATCGTGTCGTGTAATACTCGTTAAAGTAAACGAGTAATATGATCCGACTCGAAATCAACCCGCTAATATTATCAGGTAATATGACCTGATCCGTTACCTATTAAGAAAAATATATTTTAAATCAATAAAAATGAAAATGAAAAACATAATTTGATCCAAAAAAATGCAAAACATAATACTAAACTACATTTCGGAGTTGACCCCTTCATGAAAGTTGTAAAACTTTTCATTATGAGTGATTACATTTTTCACACTTCTACAATAATTATTATTAATTTTGCACTCAAATAAAAAAACATTGTTCATGAGATTTGGAGGGTTTTAAAAATCTAAACGACTATATAACCATCATCGAAGCATTGAGGATGCAATTATGAACTTTTATTATGCTTTCACATCTTTTAGACTTATACATTAATGATTATGAATTTTTTTTATTTTGAACTCCCTTAAAAATACTATTCATGAGAGTTTGTTTGGTTTTAAAAATTCAAAAGATCATATACCCATCCTCAAAGCGTAGAGGATGCGACTACGAGCGTTTGTATATTTTTTTGGGTAAAGTACAAAAAACTACCTCAATTGTTGGTCTCACGACACTTTCATTGCTCATCTTTTTTAAATGACAATGACATACCTCATCTTACGAATTTGTGTCAATATCATACCTAATTTCTCAGTTAAATGCTGATGTGGCTTGATTCGGAACCCACTTTCTATTAAAAAATAATAAATATTATTAAAAACTAAAAAAATCATTTAATATTTTTTAAATATTAAAATAATTAAAAAAAGTTATTAAAAAAAAAAAAAAAAAAAAAACCCAAACAAAACTTCCCCTCTACGCGCCCTCTCTCTTCTCCCTCATCTTCATCTCCCTTCCTCTTCTTCCTACATGATGCAACCCAGAAAAAAGAAAAGAAAAAAAAAAACCAACCAAACTTTGTCCCTTCCCCCCCCCCCCCCGGGGCCTCTCTCTTCTCCCCCATCTTTATCTTTTTTCCTCTTCTTCCCTCTATCTGCTGCAACCGAGAAATAAAAAATAATAATTAAAAAAAAAAAAAACCAATTGTCTTCCCTCGCACCCACCCTTTTCCCTCCTCTACACACCCCACTCCTTAAATCCACACTCATTCCCCCCATTTTCTCCTCACCCAAGTTCTCCACTCGCAGAATCAGCATGGCGAACTGGATCTGGGTTTTTTTTCTTTCTTCTTCTTCTTCCTTCTTCTCCTTCTTCTTCTTCCTCTTCGCCGCGGGGGAGGTGGGGGTGGGGGGGGTGGGGTGGGGTTAGGGGTTGATGGGTTTTCAAAATATTTTTTTTTGGTTGAAGATTAAGTAGGGAAAAAGATGAAGATGGGGCGAGAGAGAAAGGGGAAGAGGGGGTGGAAGGGATGAAAGGTTTTGTATTTTTGTTTTTTTAACTTTTCTTTATTATTTTAATATTTAAAAATATTAAATGATTTTTTTATTTAGTTTTTTTAATTTTTTAATAGAAAGTGGGTTCTGGATCAAGCCACGTCAGCATTAAACTGACAAATTAACGGCATGCTAATGGAAGGTATAACATTGACACAAATTCATAAGATGAGGTATGACATTGTCAATTTTAAAAGATGAGGTATGAAAGTGTCGTGACACCAATAATTGATATAGTTTTTTGTACTTTACCCTATTTTTTTTTCATATTTTTCGCACATATAAATTAATTATTATAATTTTTTTAATGTGTTTGGTATTTTTAAATTACTTGATATTTTTATTTTTAATGTGTTTTATGATTTTTAATCTCAATCTTTACCTATAATATATTATAAAAATAAATAAAACTTAAATTTTAAAATTTATATAGAATAATAATTAATAAACAATATATACATATTCATTATATATATTGTATTTTATAGTAAGTTTTTTTAGTAGTTTAAAAAATTAAAATCATCAAAATAAATTTTTTCTTATCGTGTCGAAATAGTTTACCCGCGTGTCACTCTCATGTAAACCTATTAAGGATTCATTATTAACGGGTTATTATCATGTGACCCGATTAGTTATCGTGTTGACCTGAAACCTGTTATTTTCGTGTCGTGTTAACGAGTCGTGTAAGAAATTGCCAGGTTTAAGCTCACCTATAAATTGTTGTTTGTTGTTGTAAGAAAGTAAGAAGGGAGGAACCAAACAAAGAAAGTAAGAGAGTAGCAGCCAAGAAGATAAGCAAGAAAATAATTTAGAAGTGAGAAATTGCCAGGTTTAAGCTCACCTGTTATTTTCGTATCGTTTACGTGTCATGTTAACAAGTCGTGTAAGAAATTGCCAGGTTTAAGCTCACCTATAAATGGCTGTTTGTTGTTGTAAGAAAGTAAGAAGGGAGGAACCAAACAAAGAAAGTAAGAGAGTAGCAGCCAAGAAGAGAAGCAAGAAAATAATTTAGAAGTGAGAGTTCTAAAAAGTGAGAGAGTTTGTGTGTTATAATATATTGTGAGTGTAATATAAGTAATTTGTTTACTTGTTTTCTCTTTTCAACACTTGTGTTAGAGTTGTGTACTTTAATTTTTCCTCAACAATTGGTATCAGAGTAGTACGATCAAGGACCGACTCTAGTGAAGTTTTTGAGAATTGTGAGAAGTTTAGTACTTCACAAGATTGTTGGCTAATCTTGTTCGGCGTATCGTAGTTTTGTCGACATGATGTTCGATCTTCAAGTTGTTGGAGCAATCAAGAAGTTGAACAACAAAAATTACAACACGTGGTTGACATGCATGGAGTTTTACCTACAAGGCCAAGATCTTTGGGAGGTTGTCAGCGGTAATGAAGTTACATAGTCAGAAGAAGTCACCAGTGTCACTCTGCGGAAGTGGAAAATCAAGGCAGTTAAGGCTATGATTGTCTTGAAAACCACAATTGAAAAGGAGATGTTGGAGCACATAAGGAAAGCCAAAACACCAAAAGAAGCATGGAACACCTTTGCCACACAATGTTCAAAAAAGAACAACACAAGACTACAACTTCTCAAGAACGAGCTGTTATCGGTGGCCCAAAGGAACATGACGATTGCCCAGTACTTTCACAAGATAAAGTCTATTTGCCATGAAAATTTTGAATTAGACCCTAGTGCTGCAATTGTAGAATCCATAATAAAAAGAATAATTATCCATGGGTTGAGACCCAAATACGGAGGCTTTATTGCCTCTATACAAGAATGGCCAAACCAACCATCACTTGTTGAGTTTGAAAAATTGCTTGCCGATCAAGAAGCTTTGGCAAAGCAAATGGGAGAGGTCCTGTCAAGAGGTGAAGATGAAGCGTTCTACACCAACAAAAGTAAAGGCAGCTTCAAGCAGCATGTTGGTAGAGGATCTAAGAGAAATGGTGACAAGGCAAAATGTCATCAAGAAGGAGGAAGTTTTCATCAAGGGGGAGTTCCAACGTATCATGACAATTGTAGTCAGTCCCAGAACAATAAAAGGTTTGAGGGAAAACGCTACAATTGTGGAAAGAAAGGCCACAAGGTGAAGGATTGCTGGTTCAAAAGGCATGCAGAGAGTAATGTTGCCACTTCCAACTTAAAAAAGAAAAGTGAAGATGATTGGGACGCCGTAACATATCTGGCCATATAAGAAGAATGGGACGTTGAAAATCTTCTTGCTGGTTCTCAGAAAATGAGGTGTTGCCTGACTTGAGAGAGATCGAAGATAAGTTGCACGAGAAAATAGGAGAGTAAACTGCTCAAATTCAATCGGGTCCAGATGAGTTTGAGGATTTGCTTGATGGTGATGATGTCGAGCAATAAGTGCTTCATAATCCTTGGCAAACTGGCGTGTACCAACAATTAGAAGAAGATAGACCTAGTGAAGTAGAAGTATCCACTCCACAATCACAACTAAGAAAGAAAAGAAAAACCAAGAAGAGAAAGAAGCAAGAAATTAACTTAGAAGTGAGAGTGGTCTTGTGAGGAGTGTGAGTGATCTAGAGTTTGTCTCTAGGAAGTGAGAGAATGCCATAGCTTCTAAATTGTGTCTTTGAGAGTTTGTGTTTGTAATATTTTGTAAGTTAATGCAAGTAATTTGTTTACTTATTTTGTCTCTCCAATTACACTTGTGTTAGAGTTCTGTACTCTAATATTTTTCAACAGGAGCCTGCATATGCGTGTGCCAACAAGTCTACGAAAAGAAAATTAAAACAAGAAAATGATGCAGCATTGGTTGAGAAAAGTTCGAAGAAAATTCGATCTCGTTGATCATCAACTTTATTTTGTATTGTTAATTCACTTTCGTTTTTAGTTGAAGTTTCTGAGCTCAATCTGGCTTGTCTGTTCTTTGTTTATTTTAACTTGCTTGACGACTAAGTAATTTCAGTAATTTCCCTAGTGACATCTAGAAGAAATGGATGGTTGAATATGTAGGGGTAGTAACTTTGACGTGACACGATTAGTAAACCAACGCGTTTGAATTTAACTCGTCAACTCGTTTAAAATTGCCACACCTAGTTGTAAGCACAACTCAAAACATGACTTTAAAAGAGAATTCTATAAAATAGCCAAATTCGAAGATGGAAAGAGATAGGGGATCAATAAGTAAATTCGGAATACCAAAAGTTCATCATAAGTTAGGTGAGTTAGACTAGTTGGTCATCGTTTCCGCATTAGTACTGATTGAATCTCTCACTTCATAAATTAGAATAGTTTAAAATAGTTTGAAAATCATTTTTCCTAGGCTACTAACGAACACAGTTTACGTCCATAGTAATCGCAAATTGTAATCAAGTAAACAGAAAAACTAAGATTATCATATCATCATGACACACATCTACTCATATTCACTTAAAATTGTTCAAACGGGACAAGTCTATTTGGTCTTGTCCACATGGGCTAAGCCTTATAATGCGTTAATAATAATGTGCTTCAATTTCTTCTTTGGCGAAAATCGAACCTAAGATCTGTCATTTACAACTACACCATAGTATTAATTGACAGAAGCTCATCTAGTGTTTATGAGTAAAGTAATATTATTAAATTAACCATGACACTATGACAAGTGGTACAGTGAAATTGCAGTAGAATTCTAAGCCCAGTATGCTTTTTGATCTTGGATGATCTCGGATTCGAGGCACAAAGCATTGAGATTAGTCGTACCTTTTGAGGTGTAAAAATTCATCTTTAGGTAAACTAATGAAAATGACTTCAAAATTTTAAGTTTTAACGATAAAGACAAAATAAAAGATAAAATGAATAATACCAAAATTGACTTTAATGTAAAAATATAATTTTTTGTTAAATTGAACAGTACCAGAAGTTTTTCGTTAAAGTTGCTTTAATTTTTCTATTAAATGGGCCAACGACACAAATATTATCAGACAAATTGTCGTTGTTACTATTACACCGGCGCCATTAGTTACTTTGAATCTTTGATGTAGAAATTAAACTCCACACATAAATGAACTCCAAATCCAAAACGTATCGATCAAGAAACCACATCAAGAAGATGAACAAGCTCATCATCTTCTTTCCCTCCTTAACCTCTCTGCTTCTAATGTCTTCCTTCTCCGCCATTCTACATCCATCTCTCTGTTCCTCCGCCCTCGCCTCCGCCCCATCCCACAACCACTTCACCGCATTCCACCACTTCCTCGAGACCAACATCAACCGAACTGCAGCGTCAATTGGAACAACCCAGCAGAGCATCAGAGCCCTTTTGAGGCTCCAAGAATTGTATGTCCAAGAAAGGAATGCGCTGAGAGATTGCTTGGAGATGTTAGACCAAACCCTTTACGAACTAGGCCAGGTAATCGAAGACTTGCACGGTTTGCGTGTGTCTTACGGCAACCTCAAGACCCTTCTGAGCGCTGCAATGACGAATCAGAACACTTGCATTGATGGGTTCTTTGAGTTGGAGGAGTTGGACTCCGAAAACCAAAAGGGTCTCAAAGGTCACTTGCAAGGGCTGCTGAGTCCGATTTCCGAGTCGATGAGTAATTGCTTGGCAATGATCAGAAACCAAGAACAGATTCTGAATTCGCAGAAGAGGGTTAGTAGCAGTACTACCAAGAAATCATCGAAGAAGAGGTTTCCGAAATGGATGCTGCCGGGTGATCGAAATCTGATGCAGAGATTAGTGCCAAGAATAAGGGCTGACATTGTTGTTGCTGCCGATGGGAGTGGAGATTATGAAACCATTGGTGAAGCTCTGAAGGTGGCTCCTAATTTTAGCATGGACAGATTTGTAATTAGAATAAATTCCGGGGTTTACAATGAGACTGTAGAGATCGCCAGAGTAAAGTCTAATATCATGCTTGTTGGGGAAGGGATGAAATCAACCATAATCACAGGGTCTAAGAGCTTTGCAGATGGATTTTCCACCTTTGCTACAGCCACTTTCAGTATGTCACATTTTTTCGGTTCCGAATATTATTAGTTGGTTTTGATTCAAGTGTGTTCTTGGCATTTTTTTTATTTGTATGCGGAATATGATAAGAAAGTTAAGGCCTTTTTGTGTTTTTGGATAGCTGCAGCTGTAATTGAGGACAAGTTCTTAGCTAGGGTTTAAGAATGCCACATTTTTTCAGTTCCAAAAATTAGTAATTAATTTAATCTTGACGTGTTCTTGGCAATTATTTTTACGTGTGTCTGAAATTTGATTGAAGAAAGTTAAACTTTTTTCGTATTTTCGATGTTTGCAGCTGTCATTAGGGACAAGTTCATAGCTAGGGTTTAAGTATGTCTTATTTTCGTGGCTCCGAAAATCATTTGAACTGTTGTGTTCTTGGCATTTTTGAGATGTGTATCTGAGATTTGATGATGGAAAGTTAAACCCTTTTTGTGTTTTCGGTCTTTGCAGCTGTAATCGGGGACAAGTTCCTAGCTAGGGACCTGACGATAACCAACACAGCAGGCTCAGAAAAGTTCCAGGCAGTTGCTGCAAGAGTGACCTCAAACTCTGCATTCTACCGCTGCAACTTCAGTTCATACCAAGACACCCTCTACGTCCACTCACTCCGCCAATTCTACCGCAACTGCATCATCGAAGGCACGATTGATTTCATTTTTGGTAATGCAGCTGCAGTCTTCCAACGCTGCAGGGTGATTGTCCGAAAACCAATCCCCGGACAGAAAGTTATGATCACTGCACAAGGCAGAACGGACCCGAATCAGAACACCGGCATTTCACTGCAGAAATGCACCATTGTGGCTGCGCCGGAATTCAACAAGACCGAGAGGCAAACTATCACAGCATTTTTGGGAAGGCCATGGAGGAACTACTCAAGGACAGTTGTGATGAGGAGCTATCTGGGGGACTTGATACACCCACAGGGGTGGTCAAAGTGGGATGAATTTACCACTGTGGACACGGTGGAGTACATTGAGTACTTGAACTTTGGACCTGGATCAGACACAAGGCAAAGGGTAAATTGGGGAGGGTATAAAAGGAATTGCAGTGAGGAGATCGTGAGGCAGTTTACAGTTGGCTTGTTTTTGCATGGTGAAAGTGACTGGATTCAGACCACTGGGATTCCACTCTCTTATGGTTCATAACAATTTGAATCAATTTCAGTAATTACATAGAACCATCCTGTAAATACAAAATTTCGTTCGTGGTATGGAACTGGTTCGGAAAATTAATGGTTAGATCTTACGTGTAAGGATCGAATGGAGATTTACAAAAAAAAGGCAGGTTGTCATTTTTATTTCTTGTTTACGTACATAGAATCGGAATAAGAATGAATTTACATACTCAGGAATTACAAATGTAACGTACAGGAAAAACCTAGTTACAAAATTTGCCTGCAGCGCGTATGAGGTCGTAAATATATACACCACGTCCATCCCCTTGGCGAGTTGTAGCATTGGCGACGAAAAGGTCACATGAAGCACTCTGAACTTTTGAACAACATTTCCATTCTGAATCTCCCATACTTGATTCCGGTGACCTGCCGCTGTTTGTGCTACAAGGCATAAGTATCCGGGCAAACACAACCGGTAAGCAAGAAGACCGCCACACTATTCACCACCGTGCTGTTTTTTAAATTCTTCAATTGTCCTTTCCACATTCTCTTTACGAAGAGGCTGCGTAGGGTACAGAACTAGTGCTAAAACTAAGGTGAATGCAAAACCAATTAGCCCACTAAACGGTTTGAACGGCTGTGTCCCCATAATCCAAGGAAGAAAGTTAGCCCGGTAGGTTAGGAAGCCACCTCTCTGTATGATGAAACTTGAAGCGATAATTCCTGCACGTAACCCAATTGGAATCGCAAGGCTGCCTTCGCTTCTTTGCCGAGCACCTGCTAAACTCAAAGATAGAAGCCATAGTCCTGGTACTGATAGCGGAGACCTGAAATTCCATTGAAATATAAAGAACTGTTAGATTTGTCTTGCACGTCGTCAGCAGAAAGCATTATATAGAAGATTCCGGTATTGCATTGCACGTATCTTGTGTATGGCACAACAATAGCGGAAACTGAGGCCACCTAAAAAGCTAAAAGGTATAGCAAATATCGATTCCAGTTACCATACAGAAGACAAAAAGAAAGCACTGGTTCTAGGAGGCGATGAGTAAAATAAAATGAATAGAAAGCAACCTCTGGGATAAAGCGAACACAAGTCCTGATATAATTATTCCTCGATGATATCCAAGATCTGCAGCAATTTCTTGGGGCAGCCATGCCCTGAAAAGCAATTCTTCCACAAGAGCAATACCAGTAGCTACTACAACTCCTTGACCAACCGTCATAAGCCCTTGCGTATACACTTTGAGCCGTGCCACAGCATCCAAAGAAGACGGAGTAGAAGGCCAGGCAAGATTCACACAGCCAAGTAGTGCGCTTACAGAGTGTATTGACAAAACAAGGACAACTCCACCAATCAAGCCCTTCAAAAAATCACCTAACTGCAAGCAAGGAGATGAAAAATCATACAACTGCAAGTAAATAACACTATCTTATTTTGCATGATCTTAGAGTACACGTCCACAATTTCAGCTAACACATACCTTTGCAAATGACGTTAAATCTAGCCCATATCTGTGAAGAGGATTTTCATATCCACGTATTCTTTTACCCCATATCACAACAAGTATCATAAAAGCAGTGTAGAGGCCAACAATGCAAGCAAGTTCAGCAAATCTAGAGGATGTATTGGTTGCCCAGCTTTGCAAAAATGATGGAAGTAGTGGAATGATGATTGGCGACCACAAAACAAGAACCATACCGACAAACCCAAAAATTCTACAGAAGCAAATCAGGATAAAAGAACATATCAGGAACTAAAATAATCAAGAACAAATTTTTGTACATAATAAAATGATCACCATGCAAACCAAAGGAACTTAACAAACTAAGGGAAATCAGATCACTGATTTCACGAATGCATGATGCAACATACATATAAAAGTTCCACTTTGAAACTCTCTTAATAGTCGTAAACTATATGGATTGGCATGCAAGATTAACTTCTTGAACATAGAAATTTGTACTCTAAATAATTTCGAGATAAAGATTCTCTTTCTTTTCTAAAGCAGTAATTAGAATTAACCTACACAATACCTCTGGATTAAGGGACGCTCAGCTATATGAAGAAATTGGATAAGCTTATCGGTCAAACTCATCGCACCACGTAGACCACCCCAAAGCAAAGCAGCTTTTCCAACTAACCTCAACATGCCACCCCTTTGTCCCAAGTCTGCCAACATTGCGACCAATCTATTTGCAAAGGGGTTACAAAATTAGTAAAAGAAAGAAGTGGTACGTCTCTATATATTGGAAATACATATGTTTTGTGCTAATACCTTTCTTGATCCACTTCACCACCTTCCTTGGTGGGTACCACAGGAGCAGCAACTGACATGGCTTTCTCAGCGAGACTTGTGACAATGTTACTTTGGTTTTTCTCAGCCTCTTCAAACTTGTCAGGCTCCTTCTGACCTTTACCTTTCACCAATGACTTGGACAAACTCTCGCCAGAAGTTTCATCACCTTTGTACGAATCCTGTGTGTTTGTATATATGCATAATAAGTAGCAACATAAAATAAGTCAGCTGATTTTTGTCATCACAAAGAACAAAATCAAATAAACAAAACAATAGAGGATAAGGCAATGGAATCTGACATAGTGACATGGACATCATCTTAGGCAGCTCTCGTATTGAGAACAATAACAGAACACCAAAGAGAAGGTAAATACAAAGTAACTGATTTTGAACAAGATCATGTTAAGCAGTGGGAATAATGATGATACAGTTGCCTCAATAGAAGAAGGAAGTTTTCTGTAAGTTAATCTCAAAGACAACACTATGCTGTGTGGTAACTACCAAGTTGGACAGTAGTTTAAGAAATACAAATCCCTAAAAACAATTTTGCATGGGCATCTACTTGTATAGCTACCATTTTAAGAAAACTAAAAATGTCTGAATAAATGAACATATTACCTGGTGCTTCACGAACAATGCAGATGCCCCTAGGGCAGCTGTAACAGCACCAACCATAACACTGTTGTTGATATTCTTCAACCCGGTCTTTTCCCCTTCCCTGTTAACTGAACTGTCCACGCTAGCATTTTGATCAGATTTATCAACAGGCATGTGGTGAATCTCTGTGCCACTAGCCTTGCCCAGATCTTTTTTTCCAGATACTTTTGCTCGACTAAGCGTCAGGGCTTCTATTCGACCATAATTATGGATCGTAACCACATCAAAATATTTTCTCAGTGCCGCTAGGCTTGAGCCTACTATAACACCAACTGGCAGCACTCTTCTCAAGTGACTAGTGCCCTGAACAGCAGATGATATGGCTCTTATTATATGCTCACCATGGAGAGTACCAACTTTTTCCGTAGTGCAGTCAATAATACTATGGTAATCAACTTCCAAACATGGTGCATACTTGTCATGTCCAACATCAAATGAAACTGCATTTGCCACTTTTTCCATATCTTTGTAAAGATAGGGTTCCATCCGTTTCATGTCATCCGCACTTATTCTGCGACCCACTTCAATCTTCAAAGTATGCAATACAATATTTTTCACAAATTGCATAAACTCCTCTATTTTCTCTTCACCAATTTCAACTCTCCCCTCAATATTTTCCACTGTTTCATATTCTTTCACTGGTTCCTGATGCTTTTCTGTATCTAATATTACATATGATGGTTCGATAACTTTACCATTTACCTTTGCAGGTGAATGGGTGTGAATATTTCTGTCAACACCCCTATGAGTTGCAACGTTACCAACAGAACTTTCAACTTGTCCCGGTTGTTCTAAGAGCTTCCACTGACCTTCTTCTGGAAAATAGTCCAACAACAGAGCAGCGGTTGAATCTAAATCAAGTGATTCGTCAGGTACCTTTGAAACGAGAGTATTCACCCCATATGGAATTGAAGTTACGGAAAGCGGCGGCTTCTTTACATGATTAAGTTTGTCTACACTTCCAGCAAGAAGATTTGTACCAACTAGTTGATCCTTCTTTTCATTTTTATCATCACCTACACTGTTAACTGCATCACTTCCCTGAGAACTGTTCAAACCAATCCCATAAGCTGATGAGGGGCTTTGATTAGACTTCTCTACCCATCCATTTGGTGCATCATGTTGCAAATCCGCACCATTCTCAGGGTGATCAGATACAAGGACACTGCTTAACATATCCATCTGTACATTTTTGTCAGTCTTACTTGCTTCTGAATCTTCTTGACTATTGACATGACTGACATGGTCCTTTGCAGATTCAGACTCTGATACAGAATCATCTTCTTTTACTACACTTTCATGTGAACTCTCCTCCATTTGAGTTATTATATTTTCTATAACACCAAAAACATTGTTGACTGCCATTTGGGTGTTATCATCCATCCCTGTCAATGCATTCAATGCCTCAGAAACGCTGAAGTTCTTACTTTGGTCCACCACGGGCTGCACATTCTTATTATCCTTCTTTTGATTATCATTGTCTTCCTCTTTCTTTGTGTCTAATGGAGTGATTCTACCATCTTGGTCTTTCTGCTCCTCAACAATTGCTTCCTCAGTACCACCAACGATTTCAGCCTGGCTGGAATTGTTAGGGGTCGTTTCTAGTTCTGAACCCTTTTCACTATTGGAAAGATCTTCAGGAGCCTTTTCCTTGGAAGACTTGTCATTTCCTGATTGGCTAGTGTCCTTTCCAACAGAATCAGAAATATCACTTTCCTGACCGCTCAATGATTGAGACTGGTCTAGATTTAAAAACTTTTCACTATTGGAAAGATCTTCAGGAGCCTTTTCTTTGGAAGAATTATTTCCTGGTTCGCTGGTGTCCTTTCCAACAGAATCAGAAATATCACTTTCCTGACTGCTCAACGATTGAGACTGGTCCAGATTTGAAATCTTTTCTGATCCCTCTGAGGGAGGATCCTCTGATCCCTCTGAGGGAGGATCCTCTGATTCTAATCCCCCTGGACGCTTGTTTGCATCAGGTTGTTTGTTAGTTGAGCTGTCCACCAGATCATCCTTTTTCAACAGATCTGATGAACGATTGTCTTTCTGTACCCCTTCTGAACTTGATGTTCC